TGCCCCAGCGCTACAGCTCAGAGGAAGTGAGTCCGAGCACTGGCTCTTTATGAGAAACTGCCTGGGTCTCCAGCAGCCTTCGTATCACTCAGCCAATCCCTGCTGGTTTTTATAGCCCAAACTAGAGGCCCGGTGCACGAAATTCATGCACAGATAGAGTCCCTAGGCCTGGCCGATTATTAGGGCTGATGTATGGGGCGACTGGCGGGGTGATTGGGAGCCCCCCACTGGCACCTGCTTTGGCTGGCCTGGCACCACCCACTCACTGGCCCTGCCCCCCAATCGCTCTGCAGCCAGTCACCTCCCTCTGTGGGGTGACTGGCGGTGGGGTGATGGGGGCGGGGGAGGGCCTGCTGGCACTCACCTTGCCTGGTCTGGGGCCTGTGGTCTGGGAGCAGCTCCTGTGTTGAGTGTCTCCCCCCTGGTGGACAGTGTGCGTCATAGTGACCAGTTGTTCCACCTGTCGTTCTGCTGTTTGATCGATTTGCATGTTAGGCTTTTAATATATAGGATTCCCAGCTCTAGAACCCTGGGACCCCTTGTTTCTCTCAGGAGGCCTCTGTAGCTGAGATATCCCTCCCGATGAAAAAAAATGCCAGATGTGGGTGTCCGACCAGCCCGTTCCATGCCTCTGCTCCTCCCACCAGTGTTCATGTATTTTCTTTACTTATTTGTAGAAGTTCTTTTCAGCCAGATTTCAGGCAGTTCTGAAGGATGGTTGCTCTGTATTTTAGTTGTAATTTAGATGTGGTTGTGGGACGCTGTAACGTCATTTACCTATGCCACCATCTTGGTTCTATAAGTTTCTTATTGCTATTTAGTTCAGCAATTTTCACTTTTGGTAAAATGTTTAAGGTTTTTATATGTGTTTACATGTATTTTGAGAAATGACTTCAATATTTAAAGGGTCACATGAAAGGTTGATATATTGCCTGGCCTGCCTAGGAGCTAGGGAGGTTCAAATGCTCCTCGGTACCTACTGACCAGTTGGAGAGGAACTTGAAAAGTATCATGAGGGTAGGGCGGATTCACAGGAGACCTTTGAGTTAGAGATTCCAAGGATTGGGGATTTCAGAGGGGTAATTACAGATAAGGAAGTACTACATTGACAACTAAGTTTAAAGAAAGTCTCTCTAGTTCTTGGCAGGAGATTCCCATTGGGTAAAGGGAAAGGCAAAGCTAGTTTTTACAAACTAGGAGATGGGAAAGTTGCTTTATATGAGAAAGGCTGGCAGAGGGATGGTGCTGAAGTGGCTTCCATCCATGAAGCTGGGCAGCTTGCTCACTTCAGGCTAGCTGATTCAGGTGGGGTGACAGGGATGGTTTGGTTAAAGGCCAGGAAGTACAAGAATATATGAGATATGGGGGGCTAGGGAGGCTGTAGTCTTGCTGGGGGCCGTTATAGTAAGGTGCCAAGAGGCATAAGCGTTGAGGATTGTGGCTTATTCTCTCAATAGGGGGATCAGCTAGAAGATGGAGCCCAGTCTCTTTAGATGCAACCAATGGCTAGAGAAACTGCTTTCTCAGGATGGCCTGTTCTGGCTCTTCACCCTCACCAGCTGGACTAGAGGAGATGACGAAGGGAAAGGGCAGTTACTTTTCCAGTGGTGGGATTTGCTGGCAAAGTGACAAGTCTCCAACAAGAGCAAGACCAATGTAACTCATCATCAAAAATGAGGGTGGAAAGGGAGGTTTGAGAGAACAGAGCTTACCTGAGCACCCCACCCTACTCCTATGCCCTATCACCAACTGGTGCTGGGGACAGCAGGGAGGTTAGAGTCAAATATGAAATAGTTTAAAAGGGATAGGTGGACAGGACCAAGTCTCACTATCTGAAAGTGACTGAAAAGTTAATCTGACAGATGTCAGAGGGGCCTATGACTCAAATGGACCACTGTTGCAATTAGTGGAAAGAACTGATTTGAAAGAACTGTTTTTAGGCAAGTTAACCAAATATTAATTCTGGGTTTATTAAAGAGCAACTGGCAACCTGATTTGCAGAGCCAACATTCACTATTCATTTCTGAAAAATCAGTTTCCATAGTGACCTAATTGTACTTTATTTAATGCAACTTTAATGATGAGAAAACATTTTACACATACAGTAGTCCTCCTTAGCTCCAGGGGATATGTTCCAAGACCTCCAGTAGGTGTCTGAGACTGAATGGTACCAAATCCTATCTATACTGTGTTTTCTCTCTATATACATATCTATGATAAAGTTTAATTTACAAGTTAGAAACAGTAGGAAATTAACACCAATAATTAATAAAATATAATTATAACATGCTGGA